CAGGAAGTATCCAACTAAAAGGTGCTACTGAGCTGCATTATAGGAAACATAGGATTCTGGCACATACATGGGACTAAATGTCGGGACGTCTCTGCCGGTGCTGCTTTTGATTTCGACAGTTCTCTTTTTACAGCCGTCCTGAAAGTCTCCAATACCTCATTTGGGGACTATTCCCTGAACCTTGCAGTCACTGATGCAAGGTTTAAGAGATTCTGGAGAGAAACAGAAAGTCATTGTCTCAAACTGTCTCATCCCAGCAGCGCTCATGACTCATCGCTTGGGGGATTTGGTGTTGGTGCTGCTTCCCTTCATGCCTGTAGAAGCTGTCCCACCAGAGCGGGGCTCCTGTCCCGGATCAAGGCTGACGCGATCTCAGCGACCCTCAGCGCTGACCTCTCCCAGCGCTCGGTGTCCTGAAAGAGAGGGAGGGGAAGGGAAAAGGAGAGACGCTGAGGTCATCTGTTGAAGAACATAAAATTGCACAAAGACACGATAGCAACACGCTGCCAACGCGAGCGAAATCCCGCAGTAATAAACGAAGACATCCACAGACAAACTCGCTTTTGTTCACTTTTATCTTTCCTCTCACGAGTCACGACTCCGTCTGAGTCATGCGAGCGTTTCTACGCGGCATCCAGCTAGCATTAGCAGCCAGTTCAAACCGACAAAGTCAAAGCAAACCCATGTTGTTCCACTTGTTGTAATCATAAAAGCAAGAAACAGAGGAAGGAGTTACAACATCGATGGTTTGGCTTCAGCCGGAGTCGTACGAACCACTGACAAATTTGATGTTTCAAATTTACGCTGACACTTCCCACAGAGATGCTCCTGATGAGAGAAAAATCCCCGCGTGAGTCAGCTGTGAGCTCAAATAAACACAGCACGAACCCAACGGCGGCGAGAACCCGCCGATTTTAACTTGATAGTAAGAATCGCAAATTCTTGTGGCGGATTTTCTCGACTCCCACATTTTGTTTAGGAGCTTGTTCAATCAACAGACGGAAGCAATTTTCCAAAAGGAGGAGAAAAAAAGAAGAAAAAAAAAAGCCACAGAATTAAAGCACTTTAACTTTTGTGGACCAATAAGGCTTACTTGGAGATTTATGGGGCATGATATTGGACAGATCGACACGAAACCACACGTCGAGACAAAAGGAGACCATACATTCAGCTTCTTTAAGGCGACTTCCACTGTTGTGGTTGTTTTGCTTTGGTGATTCTTCTCGTCTTCATCTCTTTCTTCTTCTTCTTTTTTTTTTCGCTGCAAACCGCCTGCACAATGCACTTTTAATGGTTTTCACTCCCTTGACTTCATTCCTTAGGCTACAGCGACTCCCTACTTTGATTTAGCTCCTTGATGAGGCCTACGAGCGACCTGTTTCCCATTTTTTTTTCAAAGCAACAGCAAGTCGGAGGAGCTCTGCTTTGTTTAAACCGTGGCCTGGCTGCTCGCTCAGATTTATGCTTCATGCTCTACCTGCACTTTTTCATAAATGAACTGAGGACTTGAATCGGGCTTTTTGATGTAGCAGCAAGCATGAGGGAGAAAATATAAAACATTTTTTTATTTCTTCAATCTTGTAAAGACGCAGTATACACCACTGAGAACACCACAGAGAAGAGAGAAAAACCAAAGGCCTGGGATCAATTTTGGTTTATGCCATGGAGCTAACTGTTTAACATACTTTTGTATGGATTAATGCGATATCCAAACATTACATTTAGTATTGTCTGTTTGCTCAAGCACATATACTTGCTCTGTAAACTGTAGAAACCCCTCAAAAGTGTAATGGATATATTACATTGTTTGACTTCATGACAGCACCCCCTCGTTCTGCAAATCTTACATAAAGCATCAAACTCGTCCCTTACTTGCAGTTTTTCTTGTGTTCCTAAAAACAAGCAGACACCATTTTTATTCTAAAAGGAACGACTCATTTCGAGTTCAGTTGCACTTTACAGCCTAATCTGATAGAGTGCGTCTTATTTTCCCATTTCCTTTCCATTGTAATAACTTTACACTCATCATAGTCAGTGATTGTTGGCTGAGCCTCGCCCTACCTTTAATTACCGCCGCTACGCCTGCCAAGCTTCCCCGTCTTGCGCAGCGCGTAAGCCGTTTACAGTGACAAGCGTGGAAGATTTACTGTCAAAATTCATCGCAATTTCTGACACAATGAGTTCCTGATTTAAAACAGAGAGAGACGAAAACAGCCTCTCGCTTTTAGCTGACGACTGTCGGTTTTGCTGGCCGAGGCGGCGGTTTTCACCGCCGACGTTTTGACCCGTCACAACGGGGGGGAAGCACAGGTGGATTGTTTAGTGCTTTTGTGCGCTCTGGTGCACCGCCATGGCTTACAGGGACAGTTCGTCATTAATTAGACCTGTACTTTTCCTGTTTTAACAAGTCAGTGTGTCACAGATGTTAAAGGTGATCTCACAAATCATCTGCATAGACAACGACAGGTTCAGTAAACAGTTTGGGTAACTGGGTGACCACCATCACAAACACTTCTAGACTAGAGTATCTGGGGTGTGTTTGAGGGGACAAAGATCACCCATATAGGCAAGACAGCCATATGGATGGGTTTATGACTACAACACTATAAAATTATTCCATGTGTGATGACAAATTGTCAAACTATGGCTGTGTATGTTGCAATAAAGTGAGATTTTATTGATACCAGATCACCCTGTAGAGCAAAAACCTCCCGAACTGCAGCTTGTGAATTGTTGTTGTAAAGTATATGATGCTGTTTACCATTATATCCTGGTCCATCCTGTCTCCATGACGGGGATAATTTATCATTGTAAGCAGTAATGAATGAAGCTCGTACAGTGTTGTGCATGAATGTACACACCTGTCTTACTTTGTCTTACATGCATCCTGCTGCAGGTTTGTGACAAACTCAGAGGAAAGATTCCTACAAACAGCTGGAAGCAACAAACTAAACATCCATCCATCATCTATACATCGCTGAATCCTCACTAGAGTCATAGGGGACTGGAGTTTATCCCAGCTGACTGAGGGTGAAGGCAGGGGACACCTGCACAGGTCGCGAACCAGCGACCTTCTTGCTGCGAGGCAACAGTGCTAACCACCAAGTCACCTTGCAGCTCCAAACTAAACTTGAGCTCCTTCTACAGTTGAAGTCTATGGTGCTTTAATCGACTAAAGGCCTTCAGACTGTCTAACTATCTTTCACGCTGCAGGTGCATTCACTAAAATTGGACATCAGAGTTGCAGTGAATGAACTTCAAACACTAGACACCAGAAGAAATAAAAATAAAGAAACACTTTTATTGGTGCTCTGAGGTGATCAGATGTTATTTAATTCTAATGCAACTGTATTTGGCTGCAGTCTGACTTTAAAATAAGGACCGATGCTATCTGAGATATTGCTGCTGTCGTGTAAACTTTCCTAAATACAACTGAACATGCAGAGCTGCTGGGATTGAGACACGGTCACGCTCACTGAACTCGTTAGCTTGCTTTGCTAATGCTAGTGAACAAACACACAGTGTAACCGCTGTTGTATTTCTGTTGTGGGAATAGTTGAAAAAGTTTAAATGCAGTGTATTTTACGCTGCTTTCAGATGTTGAGTAATCCACTGAAAGACGTCCTGTGACTTGTTAAGCTCGCCTTCATTAACGTTATTAGTCCCACTTGTGCTTTTGCTGCTCGAACACGTCAAACAGTCTGCTGCTGAAAAGTCTTACTACTGAGTAAATACAGTCATTTTAGAGAGAAAAGAAAAACGATGGTAAACCTATAAAGATGAGATCAAAGTTCTAAAATTCATCCAGCGTTATCCTTTACAACAGGACTCAATTTGATTTGTATTATTTATTGCCCCAGAAGAGCACCAACCAGTCTGACACTTTCTCTTCTGGGTCTGCAACCAATTTCATCAGCCATCTCTCAAAAGGCGAGCTTTCTCAGAGTGGAATAAAATAATTTAAGACGGCTTTTCACAAAGCCTTTAATGTTCGAACATCCACAGAGAAGAAAATAAAAATATATTAAAAATATATCCCACTGAAATTACACAATAAGTGTGATTTGTGACCTGGAACATCCTTTTTAGCACATCTTTGGATCTGGCTTTCCAGTGCATTTTACACTGCAGCTTATTGTCAGCAATTTAACACATGTGGAGCTAAAAATATGTTTCTTTCACTTTGTCCTTTATTGACCTTCCAGCCGAACTCCGCCGGCCAGCTCGCGGCAGCCCGGTGCGTGCGGAGATTGGACGGGAATGCGACGAGGTGTGAGAGCGATGAGCGTGGAATCGGACCTGACCGTGGTTAATAGGAGCAAGAGGCCCGAGATCCAGAACTCCTGGAGCACTCCTCCCTAATCAGAACCAGCGGAGGGGGAATCCGATTACATTGATTTTCCACACCAACGGGCTCGAGGGGGGAACCGAGGCACTGGAGTACAGATCGGCAACTGCTGCCTCATTGATTAAAGCAACGCAGGCGATGAAAAAAAAAGAGAAAAGATGGAGTCAAAATATAATAGCTCTGAATGGGCTCCAGAACCAGTCTGTGTCAGCGTACACAATCCTTTCTTAGAAGGCTTTTAGATTTATAATTTTCTCGAACCTTTGAAGAATCAAAGCACGGGGACCAAAAGAAAAAACAAATAAGACTCTTGTGTTTTTCTTTATCTTGTACCCAAGTCATTGCTCTGTGGCCTAATTAGTGGAACGAGGCGATGAGGAGACGCTGGTACATCTGCAAGACGTCAACAGAATGCAGTTGGTGGCACAAAGTGGTCCACATCTCCAGGAATACGCATCGGCTCGTCAGCGACCGGCCGGCTCGGCCCGCCGAGTGAGAATTCAAAGCATTCTAGTAAATCTGATTGCATCTTGTCATGTTTATCAGATGAAAGCATTCCATCAGTTGTTATCTAAAAGAAATTACATCCTCACACGGAAAGTATTTGAGACGTTACATGTGTTTGGAGGAGCTAAAAGGCCGTGGGGATGATGAATCTGATGAGCATGATCATCTGCCGATTACCACCCAAGAGCTTTGACGAGGACCCTGGGAAAGTCACGAGAACGTCGGGGTGTTTCGGGCATATTGAAGACAGCTACAGTCATCAAACCACAGCTAATGACTCTATTACAGAGGTCTGTTTTCTAATAGGCAAAACGAACAGAGAAGAAAAAAAAAAAACACTGAAGTTTGCACACACAAAATACGAAAAAGCAAATCAAGATCACCAAGGAGGATCAAAGTTTTAAGCCCGTCTAAGCCCCGGCGCTGAATCGTTTCCACTCCAGATATGCGGCCTTTGAAATATGAATCATGCTTCATAAAACAGCATTATTAAATCAAGTAGTTGCTTGCACAGTGGAACACAAATACGACTTCGGCTCTTCATCGACT